CTTTTGTATAGAGTAGCTATAAATAGCACTTCTTGTATTGCATTACACACAATATCAATATATCATATTTTCTCCCGTGCCTTCTCACATATACATAACACATAACCTACTCCTATTACATAAGGGACTAGGACTAATTACATATATTCACATAACTATTCTAACATTCCCCCTCAAGCTGGTGCATAGAAATCATATGTACCGAGCTTGTTACATATGTAGTTAATACGAGGACCAGTGAGGGACTTGGTGAAAATATCTGCAAGCTGATCATTAGACTTCACAAACTTTGTAGCAATATCTCCCGAGAGTAACTTTCTCTAACAAAGTGACAATCAATCTCAATGTGTTTAGTTCTCTCATGGAACACTGGATTTGACGCAATATGAAGAGCAGCTTGATTATCACACACAAGTCTCATCTGACTAATCTCATCAAATTTCAACCCCTTGAGCAACTGTTTGATCCAAATTAGCTTACATGTTTCCATAGCCATTGCTCGATATTCTGCTTCTACACAAGACCGAGCAACCACATTCTATTTCTATCAAAAGGTAATCCTGCCCAATCAGTATCTGAGTATCCAACAATCTGCTCATGACCTCAATCCTCAAACAATAAACCTTTGTTTGGAGCTGATTTTATATACCGAAGAATGCGGACAACTGCATCCAAATAACTATCACAGGGAGAATCCATAAACTGACTCACAACACTCACAGGAAAGGAAATGTCAGGTCTAGCCACTGTGAGCTAATTTAATTTACCAACCAACCGTATATATCTTGCAGGATTGCTAAGAGGCTCCCCCTGTCCTGGCAGAAGTTTAGAATTTGGATCCATCAGAGTGTCAACAGGTCTACAACCTGTCATTCCTGTCTCCTCGAGAATATTTAAGGCATACTTCCGTTGTGAGATCACAATACCTGAGCTAGACTAAGCGACCTCAATACCAAGAAAATACTTTAATCTACCCAGATCCTTAGTCTGAAAGTGTTGAAAGAGATGTTGCTTCAACTTACTAATATCATCCTGATCATTGCCGGTAATAACAATATCGTCAACATAAACGATCAAATAAATACAAATATTTGAAGCAGAATGTCAATAAAATACAGAGTGATCAGCTTCACTACGAGTCATGCCAAACTCCTGAATAACTGTGCTTAACTTACCAAACTAGTCTCGAGGAGACTGCTTTAGACCACAGAGGAACCGGCGCAACCGACATACAAGGCCACTAGACTCCCCCTGAGCAATAAAACCAAGTGGTTGCTCCATGTAAACCTCATCCTCAAGGTCACCGTGAAGAAAAGCATTCTTAATGTCCAACTGTTAGAGAGGCCAATGGCGAATAGCAGCCATGGATAGAAAAAGGCGGACTGATTCTATTTTAGCCACGGGAGAGAAAGTATCACTGTAATCGAGTCCAAATACCTGAGAATACCCTTTGGCAACAAGACGAGCCTTAAGTCGATCAACCTGGCCATCTGGACCAACTTTGTATGCATACACCCAACGACAACCAACAGTCGATTTACCCGAAGGAAGAGGAACAACCTCTCAAGTACCACTCGTATGTAAAGCAGAAATCTCGTCAATCATAGCCTGTCGCCACCCGGGATGAGACAATGCTTCACCTGTAGACTTAGGGATGGAAATAGAGGACAAAGATGACACAAATGCACAATGGGATGATGAAAAACGATGGTAACTTAAACCGGCATAATGAGGATTAGGATTAAGTGTGGACCGTATACCTTTTCGTAGTGCAATCGACTGATCAAGAGGAGACAAGTCCGCAGTATTAGTAGGGTCAGGTGCAGGATGTGAATCAGCTAGGCCTGATGCTGGATGCAGACGACGATGATAAGTCAGGAGTAGTGGAGCTGTAGAAGGTTGAACTGGACTAGGTGGTGGAACTGGAGCTATAGTTGTTGGAACTGAACTCGGTGGTGGTACTAGAGCTATAGGTGGTGGAGCTGTGGAATAAGATGAATGGGGAATAGTGATTGAATCTCCAAAAGACGGAACTGGTAGCACCTCACGAATATCTAAGTGATTAATTGGACCTGTGAAGTATGGTTGGGTTTCAAAGAAGGTAACATCAGCAGACATAAGAAACCGCTGGAGGTCGGGAGAATAACATCGATATCTCTTTTGCGTTCTCGAGTAACCCAGAAATATGCACTTAAGAGCACGAGGAGCTAACTTTTCTTTTCCTGGAGTAAGGTCATGAACAAAGCACGTACTCCCAAAGACACGGGGTGGAAGAGAGAACAAAGGTAAGTGGGGAAATAGGATAGAGAATGGAACTTGATTCTGGATAGCTGAAGATAGCATACGATTAATAAGATAACAAGATGTAAGAACTGCATCCCCTAAAAACGCAGCGAAACATGAGATTGTATGAGTAGGGTACGAGTAGTTTCAATAAGATGTATATTCTTTCTTTCAGCTACCCCATTTTGTTGGGATGTGTACGGATAAGATGTTTGATGAATAATCCCATGGGAGTTCATAAACTGCTGAAATGGGGAAGACAAATACTCTAGGGCATTATCACTACGAAATGTGCGGATAGAAACCCCAATTGATTTTGAATTTCAGCATGGAAGGTCTGGAAAATAGAAAAAAAATCAAATCGATTTTTCATCAAAAATATCCAATTGCACCTGGAATAATCATCAATGAAACTGACAAAGTAGCGGAATCCCAAGATAGAACTGACCCGACTAAGACCCAAACATCTGAATGGACTAAAGTAAAAGGTGACTCTGCTCGGTTATCAAGATGCCGCGGGAAATGGGAGCGGGTATGCTTACTGAGCTGACATGACTCACACTCTAGAGTGGACAAGTGAGATAAGCTAGGTACCATTTTCTGAAGTTTTGACAAACTGGGATGTCCCAACCGTTTATGTAATAAATCTGGTGAATCAGTAACGGGACAAGTTATTGAAGGAAGACAAGATACGAGTCCATGTGATTTTGCAAGGATAAGGTAATAAAGTCCATCTGATTCACATTCGGTACCAATGATCCGCCATGTACTGCGTTCCTGTATAAAAACAAGGTCATCAAGAAATAAAACAGTAGATTTAAGTGATTTGGCTAAGTGACTAACGGCTATGAGATTAAAAGGACTACAGGGAACATAAAGAACCGAGTCTAAAGGTAAGGAAGGAAGTGGACTTGCTTGACCTATTATAGTTGACATGGTTTGAGACCCATTGGCCATTGTGACTGTTGGAAGTGATTGAGAATATGAAATACTAGTGAAAAGAGATTTGTTACTAGAAATATGATCAGATGCACCTGAATCAATGACTCAAGACTCAGAAGGTGAAGATTGGGAGACACATGTCATGCTACTATTTGTTGGAACATCGGAGGCTAATCCTGAAGATGTCTATTTACGTGCTTTGTACTGAAGGAACTCAATATAATCCGGTAAAGAAACCATCTGGATTGGATTCAATGCATTGGATCTAACGGATTGTGTGTCTAAGGCTTCTAATAAGAATGACATTATAATGTTCATGACGGAATAAAATCAGAATTTTTTTTGAAAATCACTGTTCACACCGGAAATCACTGTTCACGCCTGAAAAATATAAAAGTTGTTGGAATTAGGTTTAAATGGATGGGTAGGCTCGGAATTGCAAGATAATTACACTGTCCAAAAGAAACTTTTTCAAATTCTGGCCGGAACAACCCTCACGCGTCGGCGCATGGCATAGACGCGCCGCCGGCGGCAGAACTCTGGCAGGCGAGTGGGGGCGCATGGGTGAGTGTTTTCAGGTGGTTTTTTCTGGGGTTTGGTCGCCTATCTCTTGGGAACCTTTTGGTGGTGTTGGATTTCGCACAACACTGATAATTAGTGACTTTGACGCAAATAGTCACTTAGGTCGCCGAAAAATTTCACGGTGACTGAGTTCTTTCTTCCCGGATGCCGCTGGAATGACGCACAACGATCTATTCTCACCAAAGCTCTGATATCATGTGAGAAAGCACGGGAGAAAATATTATTGATTAATATTCTATGTTACAATAAGCCCTATTTATATGTATACATAACAGATAACCTACTACTATTACATAAGGAACTAGGACTAATTACATACATTCACATAACTATTCTAACACTCTTAATAATATTTCTATTAAGTGTGGGTGGTGGACGAGGTTGAAGTGAATGGCTTCACCTTCTTCTCCTTAGATAAGAAAAAGGTGAATAAAATGGCTTTTTGTGTCTCTTGCAATTTATGCTTTCTTGGTCTATTTTTATATCTTGTATAGTTTGTGGGAAGTAATTTCTAATATTTTTGATCTATTCCTATGTTGCATTTTCTAGAATTTGACTTCTTTTTTTTTTATAATTTTTATTAAATCTAACCGCTAATGTTTGTTAAATATTTGATGAAAACAAAAAATGCTAGTAACTTTAGTAAACTTAAAGAACCGAAATTGCTGACTAAATCTAGGACATTTTAAAAAAATCAAGGACCATTTTAAACGTAAGGGAACATCGATAGATTGGTTATCAAAAAAATCATACTTCATCCGTCCCAAAAATAATAGTAACATCATTTACTATTTGAAAGACAGAAATTTCAAATACTGGCCTTTGTTACTCCTATGTAATATGCCAACCTGATATATCTGCTTGGAACAATAAGAAACGAAGGATTATATTTGGCAGATCCAATTACTAAATAGCACCATTTTAACAATATACGCAAAAAAGAATATACTAATATTAATATACTTACCCATTTGACACCCAAAGGGTGATAACTTAGAAGATTTCGAAATTTGTATCCAGAGATAGATTCCTGTACATGCTTGAAAGATAGATTTCTGCCTTCTATAAAGCATTACCTTGATCATCACATCCTTCTAATTGAGTTAAATCTGTACTATCCAATTATCATTAGATAAAATTTCCAATACAAAATGTTGGGGGATTGGCATAAAAATGGTGAGGGAAATCAAATATTTGATCAACTGGCAAGACAAATTGCATAGATTACAAATTTTCACAATTTATAAGAGAGAAAAATACTGCCCAATTTGTTGGCCCAATTCACAATAAGCTCAATTTGTATTCGCCATCGGCAATCTAGTATACCAATTTTAGTTCAATCAATGATGTAATTAAGAATATAATTACAAGGAACATCTTCCTCTACATTATGCTATCAGCTGTCGTTTCTAAAATGAGACTTTACAGTATACTGGAAGCAGTTCGCTGAAATTATTGGTGCCCGGGGTCCAGCTCAAGCTTCTCGACAATATAAGGCCAATAATATTTAGTGCAAATTCTCAAATGCAGCTCTATCAAAAGGACGCGCTGCTCAGCAGGCAGCCGAAATGAAGGCCTAGTCACTTCAAACCATATTCTCTATCATCTCCTTATACTTTAGTCCAGTTGAATAACTTCTTGTATGATTGTATGAAGTAACAGAAATAAGTGTCTCATCCTAATGTAATGTACATCTTAAAAAGTATCATGACTTTGGCATTAAAAGAGCTAACTGAAGTTTACCACGCTGACAGAGTCTGATTGGGTTTTTGTATACCGTCACTGCTGCTGAATCATTGGGCAAAAATACAACATGGGCAATGCTAAAAGATTCACCTTTCTCAACTGCAAACTGCCATTCCCTCGAGGTAATGTGGAACCAATCCTTTCTTGCCGATCTAGTTGCCTTTACTTCTATGTATTCGTCATCCCCCACAACAAGGTCATAGGGAAGCCCCGTCTCATTGGTTTCATTGACCCATTTCACAAAAGGCTCACCGAGTTTCCCCACAAAGTATTTGAAAGCAACAAATTCTCCGTGTCTGCCAGTTAACATTGCCTGTTGCGGGTCAGTTGTGCCTACATACAGCTGATCTCTTTCTGTCACATCAGATGAACTATTTTTCGAGTCATGTGGTGCAGTTGTGGGATGAGGAGGATCAAATGCCACTTCCACAGTAACAGGTACAAGTACATTACACACATGATCAGCATCTTGTGAACCTAGTAAAGCTGCAGCTGATGCTGGATCATTGTCCGCATTCTCCACAAAAGTGATCTCAGTTGGTGCCAGTGCACATGTTTTAATTACAACTTCTTCCACAGCCCCCTCCTCTTTCGCTTGGATGCCACTGGCTGCCTGTGTCTTCGTTACACTACCAGGAGCAGTTTTCCAGTCTGTAGGTGGCCAGTTTGAGTTGATTCCAGGTCTCTTCATGAAATTCATAGGGTTAATCCCATTAATTGTTCCAGAAGAACTAATCAGCAGCCCTTTCTCACTATCTGTTGACGATGGAAAATTTGCGATTGACCAAACAGATTCACCTGCAGGAAGTTTAGGCATTTTCTGGCTATTCAAAATGAAAAACTCAGTTTGCTCCTCAGTGGAACCTGATTCGGCCATAGTTGTGATCATATGAAGAAAGTTTGCCAAATGCAAGTCAGAAGTTCCAGAAGAGAACAAACGAGAAAGCTCCAAGAACACTGAGTGAAAATCTGATTCTCGAGTTGCATACAAAATGTTTCCCTGTCACAGAGTAAAAATAAATAAATTATATATACATATATAAGGAATAAGATTTCACTAACAAAGACTTGGGCAGAGATACAAGTTGACATAACAAAAAGTAAGCATATCTACACATTCTTAATAATGCTAGATCTCCATGAACAAGACTGGGAAACGGCAAAAATAATATATATCACGCATGTTTTGTAAGTTTATGAAATATTCACACTTATAAGATCTGGGAATTGAAGAAGAACAAGATAAAAACACAAAGGAGATATAACTCGAGAACTGTACATCACTATATAGAAGTGTTAAGGTTTTGGACTACATAGGAAAAGGTCTTACATTTATTATACATCAACCTGGCCAATAATTAGCAATGCTTTTTCATAAACAGTTTAATGAAGATTCAAATAGAGCTTTTTTCAGAAATATCTCAAGCATGTAGCACTATATGGATATAAGAACCCATAGATGCGAATACCTCTAGTAGACAACTGCATTCAAACCGTTTCTTTGATGCTATGTGAGAGCTTTTTATAACATTCCTGTAGAACAACTTTTCTACAACAACAATCTGTAGGCATTTCAGGTTCTGAAATCCAGACTGGCTGAGCTGCAAATACTTGTCTGGATGAACGTTATAAATATAGCGCTGAGCATATGGAAGAGCCCAGTTAACTACTGAAGCTGCCAAGCTAGAGTCTGTTGGACCATAATATATTGCTTCACGAGTTACAACCTGCAAAAGAGCACATACTAAATGTCTTAAATTGACCTGAAAGTCATGTTACTCAGTCTGTCCCAATTTAAGCGTCTTAATATGACTAGGCACAGGTATTAAGATGAGAGTGAAGTTTTATCGTATTTAAGCAAGTATTGGTCAAAGGGAGGCAGAATCACATAGCCATCTCTTCCTACACTGCCAGTTGCAGCAGATCTCTGGAATATGTTTATTTCTCTTTTTGAACTCAGATGGGTCATGCCACATAACATCAGGGAGGCTTTTGAGAGTTGGAGCTTTTGGAAAGTTGAGAGCACCATCAAGAAAGTCTGGAAGATGGTTCCTGCTGCTATCTTTTGGAGTATCTGGAAGAAAAGGAATAGCAGATGTTTTGATGGACTATCAACTACTTCTTTTTTTGGTAATTATCAAATTTTATTACCAAAGCGAAAATTTACAGCTCAAAAAAAATAAAAAATTCACTAAGGCTGGACATTTTCCCAGTACTTAGTATCATTCTATACTACCTATACTAATAGCTAACTATCAATCAATTAAACAAGTGTAGTGTGGTACTCCTCAGACCTCAGGAGCTCCTGGTCATGGATAAAAGCTAACTCTTCAAGTCTTCTTCTGAGTCTGGGCAGTATCAGTCCTCTTCCACATATCATTTGGATAATCAGCTTGACTATCATCCCTTGTTGCCTCTGTTATGCCCTAAAGATCCTCTGATTTCTTTCCTACCACACATAGTAGACACAGCCAGTTTAAGCCATTCTGTATATCTCATTGTTGGCTGATCTACCCTTTGCACGGCAATATGCCCAAGCTATCTCGTGTTTCCACTCCATGGCCTGTCTTGTAATACCAATCCATTGTAGTAGTTTCTCCAGATGGACTCTGCATATGTGCACTTCAAAAATAGATGCTCAATGCTCTCCTCTTCGACCGTTGCACAGAGGACACTGTAAGTCATTTGTTACCCCCCATCTTGCTAATCTATCCCTAGTGCTCAGCTTGCCCATGATAGCCAGATAAAGGATAAAATCCATTTGGGCACTCCTCCACTGTTGCACACAAGTTTTCTCCATGGCATTTTCTGTTGTTCTCATCTTAGCATTATGTATAAGTTTTTGATGAATAAGTTCTCCATATCGAGAATCTCTGTAAGATTTATGCCTGCATCAATCAAGTATTGCTTAGCCTTCAGGATCTTCTTTACCATCCACAAAGCCTGTTTAGGTTCAATTTCCTTATATCTCTACCATTCCCATAGTATATGTGTATCCACTGCACCCATAGCTTATCCTTTTTCTGACCAATATCCCCGAGTAACTTACATATAGCAGCCTTGTTCCACTTGGATATATCTAGCAAGTTCCACCCCCAGCAACTTTTGGTTGGCACAGTTTGTCCCATGCTATTAAAGCTCTCTATATCGACTCCCCCGGACCATAGGAACTTTCTACAGATTGCTTCTATCAGTTGTACAACTTTCTTTGGGAAGACAAAGATCTGTGACCAGTAGATTTGGATAGAAAATAAGACACTCTTGATCAATTGAATTCGTCCTGCATATGATAAAAACTTTGCAGTCCATGATGTTATTCTTCCTATCATCCTGTCCAACAGTGGTTGAAACTGTATAACAGACATCCTTTTTGTACTTAGAGGGACCCCCAAATATATAATAGGAAGCACTCCTTTGGTGAAACCAAGTTTATCCACAACAGCCTGTTGCAGTGCTAGGCTTACTCCACCAAAGTAAATAGAACTTTTGCTTTTGTTTGCTTTCAGTCCAGACACCCCAGAGAACTCCATGAAACAATCGTATAACATGTGAATAGAGATTTCATCACCTCTATAGAACAACAGTAGGTCAGCGACAAATCCCAGCTGGATCATTTGTAGTTTCTCACACCTTGGATGGTAATTAAAATCTGGTTGGTATTTCAGGGTTCTGAGCAATCTGTTTAGGTAGTCCCTGGCTAATACAAACAGGAATGGGGACAATGGATCTCCCTGCCTTGGTCCCTTTTTTGCTGGGAATGGGCTAGTAGGCCTTCCATTTATCAGAATAGAGTAGGAGACAGTAGTAATGCACTTCATAATCCATTTCACAAAGCAGATTGGAAAGTTCATATTAATCATAATTTGCTCCCGAAAACACCACTCCAAAAAGTCATAAGTTTTTAGCATGTCTAGCTTAATCATGCATCTTGGAGTTATCCCTTTCCTCTCATATCCTTCACTAGTTCATGACTTAATATGATGTTATCTGAGATGATTCTTCCTGGGACAAAAGCAGCCTGTCAAACATCAATGAGACTATCCATGACCATTAACAAAGTCACTGAAGTACAGTTGATTGGCTTGTAAAACTCCTCAGTGGCAAAGAACTGTTTTGTTGCATTGATCATATCTTCTCCTATAATAGGCCATGCTTTCTTAAAGAAGAAAGCATTGAATCCATCGCACCGTGGGGCCTTGTTGCCAGCTATGTTCCTCATTGTTGTACATATTTCTTCTGTGGTGACTGGCTCTATTAGTTTCAGTTGTTGTTCTCTTGTCAGCATTGGTCCATTTTTTATTATCTCTGGATTTATTGCAGGCATTTGTTCAACAGCTTTGCCCAGCAGCTCTCTATGAAACCCCACTACTTCCTCTTTCACCTCATGTTCTGTTTGCAACAGTGTCCCCGCTTGATTTACAAGGGATTTGATATTATTCTGCGATGTTCTATTCTTCAAACAAGCATAGAAGTACTCACTATTCGAATCCCCAAGTTTTAGCCACTGGGTTCTTGATTTTTGTTGCAATATAATTTTTTCTATCAATCCCATTTCTCTAGTTGTACTCTCAATTCCTTCTCAGTTTCAAAAAGAGATGTCTGGTGATCTGTTTCCTTCATTTGTTCTTGTGTCTCTTGGAGCTGCCTTCTAATTGTTTGTACTTTCTCCCTGACCCCTTTGAATTCCTAAGTATGTAGTTTTTTCAATTCTTGTTTAACCTCTTTAAGCTTCAGCACACTTTTGGCATCCCCTGCCATTTGCTAGGTGTGTTCCATGCATACTCCACCACCTTTAGGAATTCTGGAATCTCAACCACATAGTTATAAAAGCGATATGGCTTTGGACCTCCCTGAGCTGTATCTTCAAATTGAATACTCAGAGGAGAATGATCGGAGATGAATGGATCCATAACTATCACTTCCATTTGTTTCATTGTTGTCATCCACTCTGTATTCACAATGACTCTATCAATTTTACTCCACGCATGGCTATTTGTCCATGTGAATTTCCTCCCTATTTACTTTAGTTCATTCATGTTGTTATTCAACATGAAATTCCTAAAGTCCCTTATCTCAGCTTCTTGTACTGGATTGCCATAGACTCTATCATCTACCCCCAGTATTGCATTATAGTCCCCCATTGCAATCCATGCTCCATTAGTTCCACTATGAATCACCTCTAATTCATGCCATAATGTTTTTCTGTCTTCAATAGTATGTAGGTCGTATACTGCTGTAAATAGAACTGTAAATTGAGTGCACCAATAGACACCTTTCCATGTAAACTGATTGCTCTTCATCATCTCACTAAATTGTATAACATTTGGATCCCATATTACCCATATCCTTCCTTTACCATCTGCTTCATAGTTAGTAGCCCAACTTCATCCTGCTGCAACCTTCTTCAGTATTTGATTGGCATTTGTTGCAGTAACTCTATGTTCTACTATAGCCAATAGGCTAATTTTATTCATCCTAATGAATCTACTTAACTCCTTTTGCTTGAACAGCTTATTGAGACCCCTAAACTACTTTCCAATCTCTCAAAGCTAATTGTATTATGTTTTTATTCACTTGGGTTTATTTATCCCCCATAGATTCCTCTGATAGTTATTTGAATTTTGTTAGCTCCTTAGTATTAGCCTGAACATCTGTATTGAAACTGACATTATTCCTTTTTGCTATAACTCTTTTGTAACTATTATGCATCTTCTTGATGCCAGCAATGAAATTAATTACTTCATTAAAAAAAAAAAAAAACAAGTATTGGTCAAAAAATTGGAGAAAACTTTAACTTTTCAAAAAATTTAACTTTCTTTGACCAATAAGTGGGGCTCTACCGGAAACTTCTCTACAGGGGTAAGGTCTGCGTACACATTACCTCCCCAGACCCCACTTATGGGATTACACTGGGTTTTTTGTTGTTGTTGTTGAATAAGTGGGGCCTAATTATACAGAGTGGCATCTTAGATCGACTCTTCCAGAAACAGCAAGCCTTTCTCCTATATATGCATGCAGACAAAAGCAAAGGGAGGGAAGTGTAATCTAGCTTACCTCTGATAGAGAAGGAATGCTTAATTTGTGCATGAACATTGAAACTTTTGTTCGGAGAATCTCCTTCTCCTCATCATTGAGTTGCCCAAAGTAGAGAAACGTAATATTATCAAAATACTTAAATTCCTTCTTCAACTCATCATCATCACACCAACAGATGAGCCCAAAGGATGGGTTCAGAGATACCCATTTATCTTCTGCAGTTGGGAGAACCAGATAATCCATCCTCAAAAGACCTTCTTTCAAGAAACTAATATCTTCAGATCTCAAAGATCCTGAATTTAGTTCGTCAACCCACTTGAGAAATATATGAAAGACCTGAAAAAACAAGTAACAAATCCATTCTTAAGCCAAGATATTCAGCAGAAAATGGTTTCATTAGCATCAAAATCATTCATCAACTATCACGATGGAAGTTTTTTGCAACAAAGATAGCTTACATTCTTAGCTGCTTGTGAAGGTAAAGCAGCAGCTGACAACTGTAGCAATATTTGAAGATATCCATGGAAATGAGGGAGCTCATCCACTCCACATTCTTTCACACAAAAGTCATGAAGGGCTGGATACATGCTACATAACATTTTGGTGAAAGGGTGCTGAACTGAATGTAGATCAAATTTCGGGCATACCATCTTCACTTGGTCCACCGAACCAGTTGAATCATGCCAAAAGACTTCTTTAGATGACAAAAGAACACCAGGCACAACATCTTCATGTGAAGCAACCAACTTACAAGGGACAAACACAAAAGGTCCATCGAGTAATTCTTCAACCACTTTTCTCTCTGAAGTACTCATCCTACTCCAGATGAAAGTGTAGAACTTTGACATTTGTGATAAACTGAAAAAAAGAGCAATGGATAAGCATGAAATATCAGAATAATGGTGAGAAATAGCAGCTCACAATGAAGGAAACCCTGACACCTCTAAAAGTTCCTACTTTTTATGCATTCAAGAAGTTGGAATATTACAAGGGGACATGTTATGGCTAGGTGGTACCTGACAATTAATGACTTTGGATCTTTCCATCAGTTCATTTGAAAAAAAGTTAGTTCTTTTTTTTTAACTCAGTAGGACTATTAAATTTTTTATACTATAACCAGTCAACGATGGGGAAAAAGCATAAACATGACTCTAGCAAAGCAACCACCTTAATGACAATGACTAGCGCTTTTTGTCCTAAACAAAGATAATAAACAACATGAACATCAATAAACCAGTTACCAGACCCAATCCACCAACTTCAGTATGTAAATACATAAGACCAACTATTGCATTATGGGTCACTTGAGCCTTAACTAATTCATAATTCTATCCACAGGAAAAGAAATGCTGAAACCCTATTTTTGTTCAGATAAATGAAAAAATTAGCATCTAGCTGATTTCACACGTTTCTGCAGAGGAAGATCAATTACCTAGCACTCAAAGGTACTTTAGATTTCCAAACTTTAAGAATTGCTAAAGTGTCATCAACTGTAACTTGTGTTTTCAAGCCAAGAGCTGTTACCAACTTTTCGCTTCTCACCTGTTTCACAACAGAAGAGCACTGAGCCACTACCAAAAATATCATGGAGAATAACCAAAAACAATAAAAATGGTTACAAATAGCAAATTGAAAGAATAACAAAGCCAACAAAGAAGAAAGGTCTTTTCAACAAGCACATGTTGGCTCAAACAAGAACAAGACTGAACGTAAATGAACAAATCACAAGCATAATAAATTCAAGCTTCTCCTGAAAGTCAAATCCACCCACACTTGCTTCTAAAATATACAGTTCTTGAGAAAATTAAAACCTAAAAGAAGGCTGACATAGTGAAAACTCCTCAGTAGAACTAACTAAATTTTAAATAAATAGATAAACCAGATCGGATTTGAGCTGACCACTTAGTCAGTTTCCTACCACAGTAAAAATACTGCATAAATAAGACGAGGTAGTTTGCTGTACCGGAATAAGGCATGAAAAAAGCAACCACGTCATATTTTAAATACAGACTACACTGTGATCACTAGATTCTTGCACAAAAAGTCATGGACAAGCCAAATTAATAGGTCGAAGCTCCTCATACAAATGTTTATTGACATGAAACTACCAGGTTAATCAACTACTTCAAGTAACACACAAAACCCATGGTTTAGACCAGTCCTAACATCCAGCAAAACACGCATGAAGTCAAACTTTCTTGTTTCTCTTTTTGGTCCTTTCCCTGTTAGGGAGGGGGTAGGGGTTTACACCAACAAAAAGCACAAAGGTGTTCTGATTAATATCACTACATCAAAGTTCGTTAAGATCAGACAGACCTTTGGAATGGCATAAGGAGCATTGTCGCCAAAAATTGAGCGCACAGCCTCACAATCATGGAATAACTCCCTTGGACGGTGGAGCTCATTATCCATACGTGATGCTAACCAGAGAACATCAAGGAGGATTCTGGTGAATGAAGAGTCAAATATTTTCCTTTCTCCTGTGGAACTGAAATAGAAACCAGTAACCTTGTCACAGAAATATTCATCCCACAAACTATCAAGCACCTCCAAGACGTACTTGCTTTTTTCCTTGTCACGTGCTGAAGATAATCGTGAAAGCAAATTGACAAACTCTTCAGACACCCAATCTTTCGCAATTGATCCTTTGGAAATCAAATCTTTATCCCATGTTGCATTCATGGAAACAGAGCATACATCAGAAATACTTTTTTCAACTTGAAGAACTCGTACAAAATCAGTGATTCCAATTTCCTGGAAAAACTTTCTCCACTTTAATAGACCTCCAGTTAAAGATTTATTGATTGGATGTTTCAAGAACATATCATCAATCTCAAGCCATTCAAGATCTAATCCATGTATTAATCTACTCATATCAATGGGATTTCCGAATTCCTTGCTGAAATGGATAGGAAACTCAACAAGACGTTTGCAACCATGATTTGTCAATATGAAAGCATTGTCGCGCACTTCACCGATAATTTGGTCCTTTTCTGACTGACAGTCAGGGCAACTGGACTGTAAGTGCAACATCAAGAAGGCAAGATATTCTGTCATTGTTTCTCTATGTCCTTGTTCATTTTGCTCTCTGTAGAGAAATGGTAGAATATGCATCTTTAATATTTGATGTGCTGATAAACGTTGGACACCAATTCTGTACAGCATCCTGGTAACATTATCTACTATTGATGATTCGGAGCATGACGTGCCAAGAGCAGCAGCCGTAGAAAGAAGTGCAGGACTCACAGTTCTAAGAGATGAATACAATATTGAGAAAGTTTCTGGTGAACACTCATCATTAGTTGCAGTGCCCATTGAATCAACATGCAACCAAAGTGCACCTTCGTCCAGTGATCCATATCTACCATCTGAAAGGGGAATAAACGGAGTTTTCTTGAGTTCCTTCATGAGATGCGATTCAATCCCAAAATCTGCTGAGTTTTTTCCATTTGATGACATTGTGAAAAACGCATTTAACCACATACATAACCATTCCAAACCCATTGACTTTAGACCATCGCCCGAAGAGCATAAAGAATTTACAACCTGAAGTAGAACTTTGAGTCCATATTCCTCAATTCCTAGAGCCCTGGCTAATAAATCTGGTAGAACTATATCTTTATGCAAGAAACCAACACCAAGATGCTTGCGAAGCAAACTATCAGGCAAAAGGTTACGAGCCTCTTGGGTCCAATTTCTCAAAACTTTACATGGAGGAACCCACTCATTATCCATACCTTCTATTATCAAGCAGTTTGACGTGCGTAATCTAGAAAGGATCATCCGAGGAAGACTAGAAAAGAAACCATGAGCCTCCCCTACAAGGGGAACAAAGCTCATATAAGCTGTAACACCTTTTGCTGGATTATCCTTAAAACACGGCAGATCACAAAAGGACCTCTCTGCACTAACAAACAAGCCAGGGAACTCTGACAACAACCACTGGTTCCAAGGACTATCACCATCAACTTCTTCCCTGGATGAAGGGAGTACAAAATCAGCCTGAAGTATAAACTTCAGGCCATATTTTCTCAGAGGAAGGAATGAAAAAACAGGTTGTTGGTCCAGTTGTGGGTTGTAGCTTCCATCAAGCGTTTCCTGCAATGTAAACGCTATGGAGATTTCTGTTGTTGGGGTATCAGGACGAATAGCGTCAGCCCGCAATTTCTGGGATACTACAAAACAAGTCAATTTCTCCTCTCCGAAGGAAACCTTAATTATACCATTTCCCACAGCTTCTTTCCTCATAACAACAATAGAATCACTTAGCATATTTCGGAATTTGATACAGTGAAGACGATGAAGAAAAAGCAGCAAAGATGGATGAAGATCAGCAAACATTGACATAATGTTCTCTTCGCCAGACCGTTCCAAGAGATTTGATCTGAAGGGAAGCACTATGCATGTATTCCAATGATTGCAATAAGAACCTGAAGAGGCCAATCTGGTATAGAAGTCAATGTCACAAGGAGGAACAATAGTTGGTAAAACAAAACCTATCTGGCCATTAGTTATATCAAACTTAATATGGAAGCCATTAGAATGAATTTCTGGAGCATCAGTGACCTGTAAAAACAAAATAAAAATTAGGGTAAGCTAAACTTGATTGGTTCAACTTTTAAGGTTCTTAGCACTTAACTTGTCGTACTAAGTTCAAAATTGAATATTTGTTAAATTTAGTGATTTTTCACACACCCCAATATATTTGAAGTTGAAAATACTGGGTTCAAGGGAACCATTGTTCAAAGGCTCCATCCACCTCTGCCTATCATCCATCTCCTCCAAGTTACAAAATATTGCAGTTTCAAAGAATAGTGTGTATGTAGATATTATCATTAAAGGTACAATTTCTAGAGCTGGTTTATATTGTTTGGGCTCATATTTCATTAGGGGCAAAACTTCAATCTCATAACTACTTAAAATTTAACGTGCCTGTGGAATGATGTTAATTTAACTTCCATTTATTCTTTAATAACATATCAAGTAGGGGTGACTTAAAGTTAGCCATCTCCTAGCTTACCAACAAAGAAAAAACTCCAATACAAAAAAGAGGGTTTCTGATCCTAAGAAGTTTAGTAGTAAAACCTTTAATGCACTGAACAAAATGATTGCTAACTCTCTTTTGATAAGGAAATTGATTGCTAACTCTCAATTATCCAGCACGAAGGTGCAACTAACAGAAAGTAAAAGCATAGTCTCTAAATATAAGTAACTAAATGAAATTTAGCAGACATATTTATGTATATTACCCGAAATACTGATTTGAAACCGATGCCTTTCTTCCCAATATATCCAGCACTACGTCCTTTCTTAGTAGAGTTCCCAACATCACAGAGAGCTCTGATGTTATCAGCAGAAAAGCCACGCTCATTGTTTAGAACTATAATGCCTTTATCCTGAAGAATGAAAGTCAATGTGGGTTCGACATCCTCGGGGTAGATATTATCATCAGCATTCTGAACCTGAATCAATGTACCATTGTAAAGAGAGCAATCAGTTATATCCTTTTGGCAGTTAGGCACAAAGCGCTCCATCTTATAAAATTCTTCAGCAGAAACAAAGTTTTAGAGTTCCTATCAGAAGAAAATCCAGCGACAAAAAAATCCCATAACAATAACCTCATACTCATTGCAAAGCTAAGACAGTCTAATAGTTCCTGGGGAATTTGAACTCTTCGGGGAAATTAAATCCAATTACTAACGAGACTAGAAGTTGTAATATGCATATTATTAAGTTATTCCTTCCATCTGATAGAAACCTTGTCGCAGATTCTACTGCACCAAGAGCATTACAAGGAAAAGGCATAGAATGTGCCCTTGATTACCTTGGTTGATATTGGTAAGAAATATAGAGCAGCTAGAAACATGGGCTACAGAGGTCGTCATTTACACAATTCCTCCATCGACTAAAATCCCGGTTATCTGATTTAATACACCTTTGATTACTTGCTAGAGGCATCGAATGTCCTTGATTTCCGAGAAGTTTTATTTTGTGTCTCATACAACTTACACTAGTTGTATGAGGCTCCTTTTTGTCTCACAAATTTGTGGACCCCAATCTTACACTTCTGGGTCCACAAAACCGTGAGACAAAAAAGCTGCCTCATACAACTAGTGTCAGTTGTATGAGACACAAATTAAAATTTTCCTTGATTTCCTGATGACTCTCCACTTTTCTGCCATGCCTATCTTCTTACAGCTACTCTACAAACTTTTAGGTACTTCTGTTTTTTTTTAAATAATTTTCATTTTAGTTATTTTATAGCCGTCTATCTGTTGCACGTTGGTTCACATCTAATTTATTGTAACTTTTTTTTTCCAACTCCAATCTACTTCCTCCTCTGAGCCAACTCAAGATAAACCTTTGTATCACAAATCCACATTAAAGTCCTCCATCTTTTTCCACATTGAATGGTGAGTTTACAAATACAACCAACACTAGAATGAGCCAGATATAAATGAATTGGGATACAATAAGGTAAACACTTAACAGATAAGATAAGGAGGTATACTGACCAACTCTAGGATAAAATGTGAATCCTGAGAATATAGCTCCTGCGAAAGACAATGGAGTGCTCTCCCCAGGCGAGCATGCTGCTTATTCAACATTGCACTTTCAACTAGAGAAATATCAGGCTGCAGACCAAATTCTTGTCGCTGAATAGATTCAATAACCCTGGCAGCGGAATTCTCAAGCTCACATGAGTGCTGTGTGGCACTATCAGCCAAATTATCAGGACGAACACAGGTTATAACACCTGCAGAGCAACTGGCATCTCGATTTTCATTTTGCTGCATTGGATCTTGGGAGAGGCTAATTTCATTTCTAGACAAGGGATATGTGTTTGATTCTTGCATGAAGGTTGACTTGTTGCTGAAATCAAGCTCTGTGACTTTCAAGCATGTTGATCCAAAAGGCATTAACAATTTAGTGGTAGAACAGGCACTTAATTTGTGTTTATCTTCAATCCACTCCACAATGCCCAGAGACATTCCAACACGATGAAGCATAAGACGCTGCTCTATCCGTTCACATTCACCTAAGATAGCTGAAGGAGCATCTTTGATAAATGGCTGCACCCCTGTAAGCAAGATGTCTGCAGCAAAATGGCAAAACTCAACAGGCAGATATCCCAGACAGTCGAGAACAAATCTCGATGCAAAGGTCACAATGCTAGCAACACTACCCTTCCTCAATAACTTGTTATTTATAGTCGATGTAGTTTTATCAGGTATGAGCTGTCTGCACAGAGATATGTCATGCTTGAGTGAGTCCTGATTGTCATGTAATTTTATTTCCTCATAATTTCTAATCAAAACTTCAAATGCCTGACGTGCATGGCATTTTAAGAGTGAATTAGGAACGTTTTTTTCACCACCATATAAAACCAGCAAAGATAACAGTTTGAGAGCCGTATCAAAAGAATTTCCTTGCAGCAATACGTTTACAAAAGAATCAATGGTGGCTGAATGATCAACACGGACAACCTTTCCGCATGCGGTTACCAAACACAACAATTCTTCGGTTTTTATATCATTTAACAGCCAACCCACAAGAGAACCAAGAGAAGAAGCAAATACCATGTCCCAATGTGACCACAAGTTCAGATCCATCAACATTGGAGCACTGACCAAGACCTTTATGGCATCTTTTGACATCACTAGACGATCTGTATAACCTACATCATTCTCCAAACCAGATCTATTTAATATAATCTCATTATTTCTACCAAATGTATATTCCTTGAGCAATGTTTCAGAGAATACAACAGATTTTAAAGTCACATCGCCTTTCTTTGCCTTCACAAAACCCTCTATATCTATCATTACGTCACTTCCAGCTACTTTTAAACAGACTAAAGGGAATTGCCTCATTAGTAACTCACCAATCCTTCGTTTGTCTACTTTTTCGTTCTCCCATAAACACTGTGAAGCCTGTGATAACAATAGATCAAACTGACAATCAAACATTGAGGGTTCGAGAGGAGGCTTCTCATGCATGTCATTTGTTAAGAACCTTGGTAAAACATGACTAAGCAAATGCCTATTTTTCTCCAAGAAAGGCAAGATATTCCCATGACCAAGTGACTCAAAATGCTTCACAGAAAACTGCTCTGTCAACCAAGATTCAAGCTTGTAAAACTTATTCAACAGGAAGAAGAACTTCTCATGGTATGAACTTGCAAAGGACAAGGCATCATCATCACCCTCAAAATACATAGAAATTTTACTATGTATGTCCTCAATAGTGACCCCTACTTAAACAAAAACAATAGAAGTGTTAGCTTTCCAGTGGAGAAGAGGTGAAAAGGAAAGCCAAAAGCATAATCGTGAAGAAACAAAGCTTAGATACTAGTTCATTAGCAGTATGAAGAATTGAAAGTTATGCTGAATTATTATACCCCACCACCACCACACACAGGGTTGGGTATCTGGAGTGTGGATAATACAATCTGGGGGTTCAATATCCAATAACACAGTAACGGGAATGGGCCCCGCTTTTGCAAAGCTATTCAAAACATTGTATCAATCTAGGAGAATCATGCATTATCTTATGTAAATCTGTTGATCTGCAGCCAACTGAAGCAGGCTAGCCATTTATAGATTTCAAGTACCTTAGACGTCTATTCCCTTTTCTTTTTCCAAGTATTGGCTGAAGGAGTATGTGAGTTACATACAAGAAGTTGAAGAGAGAAATGACAATACTCCCTTAGCAATCATGTGGGTTATTTGGAAAGAGAGAAATAGGAGGGCATTTGAAGGGGTGGAACAACAACAACAACAACTACCACCACCACCACCCTATATAATCCAACAAGTGGGGTCAGGGGAGGGTAGGATGTACGCAGCCTTACCCCTACCTGGAACAAGATTTTGTAAAATTGCAAAATAGTCTCTAGTTTCTAGTTTCTTTTTGGTGTACTCTTTGAGGTCCCTATTTGTATAGAGGATTGGATCTCCTCTGTAGAGAACCATATTATGTGTACGTTTTTTTTTTTTTTTTTT